ATCAATTAATTCTTTGTTTGGAAAGGAGGATTTTTATGGAGGAAAGAAGGAAAATTATCAAGGAAAAAGAATTTCCTTTGTTTGGAAATGGTGAGGAAAATATCGAATTGAGAGAGATGGCCAATTAAAATTAATTTGAAACTTAAGAGAGATGGCTTAATAATATAACTAAAATAACTTTTTGTATATGGTTTAGTTTGGATTATTCAAATAAAAAAAATGAAATTGAATTGTAAACCATTTTTTTCAAAATTTCTAAACCAAGCTATTTTTCCTTAGTAGCCAAACTGAATTAAACTGTCTAATCTGATTTGGTCGAGCTGAATAATGAATGCCCATGTTTCTCCTGTTTAGCAAAATTACAGATTTGTTCAAAAATTTCAATATTGTTAAATTATTTAATCCTTTCATTTAATTTTTTTATGTTAATATTACTTGATTCGTTCCACTTTGATAGCAAATGTCATTACAAGAATTAAAAAATTATTAGAATATATTAATTTTCTAAAAATATATGGTAAAATTTTAAATGAGCATTTGACGTAGAATAAGATAAAATATTTATTTATGGCTGTTAAACCGGGACTACAAACAGCCTAAGGCTCCTGAAATTTGTTAAAAATTTTCTATTTAGCCATTTTTCAAAACTTTTTTCCATTGAGTCCATAGGCTTCCCTTATTCTAAAAACTTTAACAGAGCGTGATTAATAATAATAATAATAAAAAAAAAAGGGGCTGAAGCTCCAATCATCTTCTCAAACGATGTCATTCTTCTTTAGTACATCCAAAACAAAACCCTAAAATTGCAGAGGAGAAACAAAGCAACAAAGAAATTTCAATACTTTGGATTCAGTGAGGCTGAGTTTTAGATGGCAAGCAATAAGAGAGATAGACAGAGTTATTTGTGACGGATAAAAGACAGGAAATGTGGAGATTCAGAGAAACGATAGTTAGGGCTTAATAGACAAAGATTTTTAAAAAAAGGGTTAAAAAATAAATTTAATAAAGTTCAGGGTCCTCGAGATGTTTTAATCCCAACCCAGTACACGTGCTATTAATTAAAATATCATTAATGACTTGTACGGGAGTAGATAAGAGGCTGGTTATGATAAGCCCAATTTACCCTCCCATCCGAATATCTAATTTATAATAAATTTAGATTTTAATAATACGACCTACTGTTATAATTGATCACAATATTGCTCTATTTTACTTATTAACGTGTATAATAATCATTGGACATAATAGTAGTGTCGGCTACAGAACGGGACATATGATTAATGATTAGGTGTAAGCCCACTTATTACTTATTCGTTTTGGGACTGTCAAGGATTAGCTCCACGTCCCATCGCATGTCCTATCTATGGCAACTGCGTACAACTTTTTTAATTCTTTTTTTTTTTTTAAATTTTTAGATTTAAAACAGAAATATTGCACTTATAAAATTTCACAAAAGTAGTCCAGATTTTTTTATTTTTCTTATTTTTATTGAGATTGTTAAATTAATACTCCGTTTGTTTTCGTAAAATAATTTATAAAAAAAAATAAATTTATTAAAAAATATTTTCATAAAAAATATTTTTCTTAAAAAATATTTTTAAAATGACTTATTTTTCGTTATTTGATTGTAATATTGAAATTAATTAAAAATATTAAAGACTTTATCTCATAAGAGTATAAAAATATTAATAATATTAAAAATTTTATAATTTTAAAATTTTATTGTTAAATATGAAAAGAATGCAAAACAAAAATGTAAATTATGAAAACTGCAAAATATGAATTTATAAAATTTTATCAGTATCCAAAAAATGTTTTACTAAAATGACTTAATTTTCCTTTGATCAAGAAAATTTTTTCTATTAACTTATTTTTCTAAACACCTCAAACAATGAGAAATTATAAAAAACATTTTCCTACAAATTATTTTACAGAAATAAACAGTCTTAACTCTCCTAATTTTTTTTTTGAGTAAAATTAACTATATTAATAGTTGTCAGCTGCTAAACTAAGATAAAAATATTCAATATTTAATTTTAAAATCAGGGAAGACTTCTTTCTTTCTTTTTTTTTTTTTTTTTTTTTTTTTTTTTTTTCTTTTTTTTTTTTTTTTTTTTTTTTTTTTTTTAAGATAAGTGAAATAAAATCAATCATGTATTAGTTTAAAATTAATAATTGTTCATAAAATGAACTCTAACCATGAATGCTTTTATTGTTATATATTAGCCATATTTCTTAATATGAAATATATAAAAAATTAAAAATCACTTCTTCTATTCACTTTTTTTTTCTTTTTTTTTTTTTGAAAAATCAAAATTGAAGTAGCAATTCATAACATAGTAACGGGTTCCATTCGCCCTCTGTATGTATATTCTATCCACATTCATAATATATAAAAAGATACGGTGGCTTACTACAATTTTAATTGTTTGATAAACCAGAACTGATTAATTGTACCTATTTATATCATCTGCATAAAACATCTTTTAACTCAATTACACATTTAATATTATAAACTACATATATACAATTTTAATCCATTTTTTTTAATTAAGATTTGAAATATTACTAAATATCCAAATTCTTTTAAAAAAAAACAAAAACAAAAAATCAAAACTTTGTTTTTGACAAAATTACGGATTTTAAATCCCAAGCAATCAAGAGAGATTCCAGAACCCTTAATCAAAAATTGCCTAAGAATATTGAGACTGTAGGAAGAGAAAGAAAACAAGAGATACATACTTTGAAATTATTTTGGTGTAATGTAATGTCTGATGATTTAGTAGCAGCTGGAAAATGATATTATGTTCAAATGCCATATGCATATGAACCAACTATAAGCTAGATTTTCGAATTAGGGTTCGGAACGAGTTTATCGGCTGTCATTCTAACATCATCAAGTATTTCCAAAATGGTTCAGTGGAGAGTTTACCAGGCTTGAGTTCGCCAATTATGCTCATTCTGCCATTCAGCTTTAGTAACCACATGGCAGGCTCAAACTAGCACATGAACAAGTTCACCCTCAAGGAAAGAAGCTCATTTTTTTTTTTTTCAAAGTGGAAAACCAATTTGGTTATTAGTACAGCCTGTGCTGCAGGGGCATTGTCAGTTGAGTGCAAAAAAAGACATATTTAATTAAGGAATTCAAGCAGATTCTACGATACAGAATTGACTATCAGGAACATCGTCAAGGGATGAAAGGACCAAGTTTACCCTGTCCTAAATAGAGTTAGAACTTCTTGAATCCATCAAACGAGCTTCAGATGCCCTTAATGCAGGTATGCCTCAATTGCCTTTCTGCAGAAACTTCAAACTCTGTTCTAGTAAGGATTCTCCCAAATCATTCTCGTCTTCCAACATTACCATTGAATTCCTCAAGACTTTTTGTACAGGGCAATTTTTGACTTCAGTTAGCAAGATCCTGCACGTCGAGCAAGAAGCACAAGACGCAGATATTTATGAAATGACAATACAAATAAAGGCCTTGGATATCCCAGTTACACCTATCTAGCAAGCATGAGACTATGAGTAAAGCACAAAAGGTTAGATCCTTAAAAATTCATTACAGAATTGAAAAGGACAAGGATCGGAACAAATTTTTTTTTAATTTATTTTAAACCTGATAGTCCTGGAATTTGATAAAAAAAGAGAATAATTCCAATATTTGCTTCTACTTCAACGATCATCATGGTACTCCCTGTTCATTTTCGTGGTACAATAAGTTTTAATGCAGTCAGGAGAAAAGAAGAATGGGCCATCTCTTATTAAACAGGTGCATGACTTATGCGTCAAAACTTTAAAAACCAATGTATATATATATATTAATATATATATATATATATATATAAAATTATACTACATGGTAGTAACACAGCATCCACACATTAAATACTAAGACCTCTCAAGTAGAACAGTAGAATTTGTAGGGACTGCACATCAAATTTCAATGATCAGCAAAAAAAAGAGTTATGTTTATTACTTCATTGACCATTTTGTATTACAAAATAAAGAAAGAGGGAATATCTTATCACCTCAACGTACAGCACATCAGACACATTTGGTAGCTTCTTCCTCTTTGGCCGAAGATCTTTCAGTTTGTATTCATGTTTATCACGAGATTCATACCGAATCCCTTCCATTATTCTGTTATTCCAGTGTCTCCAATGAAGTGGAGTGGCTCGAGTATTTAAAACAGCCAACAAGTATTGAGCAATGCGCTCTTCACCTACAATAGAATCTTTGACAGATCCTGCAAAAGCATTCACGTATGTAGTAGCTTTTAGTTAGACAAAAATACAGTTCATGGTGACAATACTCATTAAAAGTAGCATATGGATAGACAGAAGTTTCCTGAACTTAGTGGAGCTCATGGTGACAATACAAATTATTTTACGGTGATGGACGGACAAGAAAAGAAGGGTCATTAATATGACAACCGTTAGCAATCATTAATATGAACAACGTTAGCAACTTAGGTGATTGGACGGGATGAAGGAAAAGAAGGAGTCATTAATATGACAACATGCAAGATGTTGCCGAGTGATTTGCTACTCACAAAAGATAAATAGATAAGTAAAGCATGTTATCAAAGTTTATAAAACCAATGAGATATATGTCTACAACATGTTTTACATGCTTACATTGTGGACAAGAGAAAAAAGCACTATACACTCGAACTTCTGCACAACGCACACACATGGATATACTCTCCAAAAAGAAAAGAAAATTAAATAAAAAACTCAGACCTTGTAATTAACCCGCAATATCTTGAGTAACAACCTGGCAGTGGGGCCTACTGTAAGTCGCTTCATTTTCTCCTTTGCACCTATGTAGGAAAACTCAAACTGTCACTATTCAAAGTCTTCAAGATCATAAAAATGCATAATTTGAGTTGCCATTTGCAAAAATTATGGTTACATTTTCCCAAAGGCAGCTTATCTTACTATCGCTTGAATACAGGCAACAATCTTAACCAGGAAAGCGAGAATGTGCAATTTGATGGATAGAATTTATCAAAGCTTGATTTCCCACATTTAGGAACACCAACCACCAATTACAGAAGTTGCAGGTAATAACATTTCTTCCCAAAACAATCATCTATTGAGTATGTATGCCTACTTTAATAGAAGGATAAACTATCATCTCTATCGATGATTAATAAACTATGACAGAGAAGCAGAAACTAAATGAAGACTTGCAACTTCACACCTGTGTCTTTTTGCTTTCATGGATAGGGCAACCATATCAAACTAACGTATGCATAAAGTTTACAGAAAATGGATATCTCAAAATTAATGGTTTTTCTCATCGGGAGTGTATTTTCCTTTAAGGTCTCAAAATAATACAAATCATAAAGTTAATAGAAAAAGAAATTAAACCTTTTAAATTCAATTAGGTTTCTTAAATACTATTTTGATGATTCGCAGGATCGAGTCGTTGGAATCAAGCGACGTCTTCTGTGATTGAAAATTGGGCCACTTTGTATTATTAAATTTACTAAAGTATCCTTCAATAATTATATTGAAATTGAATTTAAATGCTGGCAAATTGACGAGTTTCAATTTAGTGTAAAAATTGAAAAAATAAAAGAATTGGCATCGTACAAAAAGATCGTTGAATTATCGAGCAGTTGTTTGGCATGAATTGATTAGGTATGCCTCCGTAATTGAAGGCATTGTCTATCAGCTCTAGATTGCTATCGTAGGGCAATAAGTATGACAGAAAGAAATAAAAAAAAAAAAAAAAACAAAAAAATAATAAATAGGACAGGAAGCTAAATAATTGCATCAAATAATTTTCTCACATGCCATAAAATAAAAATTGCTATTTAAAATAATAGTACATCCTATTCGTATAAATACTGGTCGCTTTTGAAATTTCACGTCTTTTTGAGAAAATTATTTAAATTATATTTAAATGGCAATAAATTCATTGAGTAAATTTGACTATATTACCCTCAATTTAACCCTACCAATTTCTCTAAGAAAATTCATTAAATTAAAGTAAGAACTTATTGGTCATATAAAAAGGATAACATGAAAAAAAATATTAGATTATTTCTTGAAACCTACAAATTGTAATTAAGTATTTTAGAAACAAATTATTTTTTCAATGCGACAAGTATTATGAATTGAAAAGGTAATAATACATTTTTTCACTTTTATGTTGTAATAAATTTTAAATTCTACCGAACATCATAAATTTCAAATTTTATTAAAAATAATTAAAGTTCCACTACCAATAAAGTTTAGTTAGAGTAAAAAGCAAACCTCAATTTCATAAAGGTAAAAAAAATAGATAAATTCGAACCCGAAAAAAAATATATTTATTTGAAGAGAATGAAAATCTTTCTGTTTTATATCCTAAAAAGATACATCTCCTGACCAATATGTAATTAATATATTATATATATATATATATATAGATATATATATATATATATATTATAAAATATATATTAAACTTGGAAAATCATTGGTCAAATTCTAATTGCCACCAAAGTTGCTCAAATAAAAAAAGAAGCTTGATAGTATAATTATTGTTATCAAAATCTATTTAAAGTACTAAATAAATATAAAAATTTTAATTTTAATTTTGAATAATATTATCAAAGTATTACCATTTGATACCATGGGGCGTTGAAGCAACGGTTAAGGCATTGACCGGCTAACCGACACAAGTATTGAGGTATTGCACCGTTTATGACATTATGTTGAAAATGACGGCGTTGTCGGAGAAAAAATGAAGTAATGAATGAATAATAATTTTCAAATCATCACTTCCAGCAATCGGACAACGACCATTTCATTAACAATTCTATCTAACTAAAAAGACAAGGAACTCCACGCAAAAAAATTTTTTTCTCAGACAATGTTAGGTCGTTTTGAGTATTTTAAAGAAGTAACAAATCATATTTCTGTCGAATATTACTGCTTATTTACTTAAATATAATAACTATTTTCAAGATAGTTATCTCTTGATTTTGAAATAATAAGCGGGTAATTTGATTAAAATTACCTTTAAGTTATATATATATTTAGGAAAATTAATTCTTATTTTAATCCATTTGTAAAAACTTTAAATGGACTTATATTTTGAATAGAGTAAATATTACTAATTGGAATTTGAATAACTATTGAAAGGCATCTTCTTTTTGGTTATTATTAAAGTGACTATCTTATTATGCATATTTTTTCTGATGTTAATAAAGATTATTTTAGTAAATTAATTGAATAAATTCATTCATATATACTCCCGTCCATTTCAAAAATATATTAAGATTGTTTGCACTGAATTAACGGAAAAAATTAATTCTCCTAATCTATAGAACAAAATCAAAGGATAACTTGGCCTTTTATTGTCAAGAATTAAGGAGTAACTTATAAAAGATATATATGTATTTAATATATAAATAAGGGTGAAAATTGAAAAAAAAAAACATTTTATTACCTTCATTAAAATATCCAAATCATCTTATAATTTGACATGAAAAAAAGTTCCACTTTAAAAGAAAACTTATATTTTGAAGACAGAGTGAAATATCAAAGAATATAAAGTTAAAAATTAGATTTAGGGCCCAATATCCTTGTTTTCATCGCTAATAAATTAATTTGACACCTTGCTCAATTTGTACCTATTTGTTACCAACAATTATTACAAGAATTTAACTTTTTGCAAAGAAAAAAGAAAGCTAAATTTCATTACCATTCTTTATTTTTATATTCTAATTTGGGGATGTTGCTAAGAAGTGCCTTCTGAGGATGAGAGGCTTTGTAAACTTTTGCTTGCCAATTGAAACTCTCTTTGAAACCCATTAGGAGTTCTCCTTGTATGCAGCACCCTTGGAGATATTGCTATTATTGCTGCTCTGTATTTGAGTATGATGTAAAAGATGTTATTCTGTGAACTAATAATAAGCAAATTAGGGCAGATAAATCCCACCATTTGGAGTGACCAAAAGGAACTCCATAAAAATTGATTGAAGGGCTTTTTCTCCTGTTAAGCCTTTGGATTTCACTGGCAATTAGTGGATCAAAACTCAAGCCCAATCATCTCATTCTGGAATTGCCCCCTATATGAATATTACAATGCATATCATCAAAACTAAGCAATGTATAGTATTAATTACCACACAATTAATGGTGGTAAATCTTTTATTTTGTTTTAATCATGTGTTAGAAAATTTATTCCTTAACTACAGTTCGGATTTGCATCAGGAAGGCCCTCCAAGAGGAGGCAAACCGCTCCGTTGCCGAGTTGTGGTTGAAAGGAGACTCTATATTTCAGGAGTTCGAACTCGGACCCACTTGTTTAAGGGAAAAGGGATATTTGCCATACCAATCTCACTTCTGGGGTAATGTCGTAATAATTTCATTAGGATTGAATTTCTACTGCATTTAAATGTTAATTTTTAAAATCGTGTTCTATCTTGTTCATTTGTTTACAACACTTGTCTCTATCGACATTCTTCTACAACCATTATTAATAATTCTATAAAATTTTTCATAATTGCTGATTATTGCACATCTTCAATAAATACTAAGTAGATTTACAGATAGAGGTGAGTATTTCGGTCAATTCAAGCCAATTTAAATAATTATTTTTTAACCGAAGTAAATTAATTGAAATTTTTTTTTTTACTTTAAAAGAATTTAATTGAACTAATTTTTTAAAACCGAAACTTAATCAAATTGTTTTGGCAACAATTAATTTTATTATTAACCACACCGAAATTAAAGAAAATGAAAATCTAATTAACCGAATCGAATTTAATTGAAAGTTGTTGATTAAAACTTTAAACCGAAATATGGAAATCATTGCTTAATTAAAATAAAAACTTGAAATATTTTTTATTTTTAAAATTTTATTATCATTAATTAAAAAATGACGTAGTTTTTTGAGAGTTGGTTGCTAATTTTGAAAATTAATTCCGTCTGCTTAACTAGTAACCGATTACCAAAAATTTCCCGATTACCAAAAAATTTAATTTTCTTTAACCGAACAATTCATTCACTGAATTGAATTGTCGAACCAAATGTTCAACCTTGTTTACAGACATCAGTTGAAAAACTATTTCGTACAGCCTAATAAATTGAGAAAATGGATACCTGGAATCGCCCACGTTTGCAAAACTGATGTAAGAACATTGGATAAGCGCCAGAAGATCTGGGGAAGGTCAGGTAATGGCCTGAGATGTCAAGATCCATCATCATAAACACCTGCATTTTGAAAACTTGCAAACTTGCATAAATGTTATGAAAGTAGACAAAAAAAATACAAAATG